CTTGATGATCAATCAAAGGGTTTTTCAACATTAAAACTACCTTTTTCGATGGACTTTTGAGGTGCATCTGGAGTTCTACATTACAAAGTTGCATCTTTATATAAACTTTTTCCATATATATATATATATATATATATATATCTGAAGATACTACAAAAGGCCTATAGGCGAAAATGAACAGTGATTTCGCCTATCCTCATCACCGTTCAAAGTTCATTGCCTGGTCACAATTGTCTTTTAGTGTTTTATTTTTTATTTTTTTTATAAATTAAAATGGCTTGAAATTTGGAGCGTATGTTAATAAAAAATAGGCGAATCTATGAAAAATATAAAAAAAGTATTTTACATCAAAATAATTTACTAAAATACCCCTGAAAATTTTCAAGGGTATTTTGGTTAATATTTTTTTACGAATTCTTTTTTTTATAATTTTATTAGGTATGTTTCACTAAGATGTACGCACGTTCCAAATTTTAGGTCATTTCGATTTATAGAAAAAAAATAAAAAATAAAATACTACCAGACAATCGGGATCTTGCGATGTACTTTGAACAATGATGAGAGTAAGTAAAATCACTGTTCATTTTTACCTAAAAACGTTGAAAATATTTTTTCATATAAAGGCTTTTTGCCTATAGACATATAAAATACTTTTCTATATATATATATATATATAATACAAAATTTAAACCACCCATGTGAGACTGAGAGCCACGAGAGATACTACGTTCTTAGTTGGTAGGAAAGTGTGCATAGCAAATTCACATACACCCAAAAGGAGAAGACATCAAAAAGGATAAATAAGTGGCGAATAAGACTGTGTGAATTGTTCCGGAAATAGCTAGACAACCACAAGGCAACGGAAAACCTAGCATGGTTTCCCTATAACCCTTGACCCAGAACGTTAGTTGGTGGTCAAAATTGGGAGTCCTACTTTCAAAGTATGATTTTTTGCCATAATTACCCTTTTGTTGTGAAATGATATGGAACTGGGTTTCCAATCGGTCATTCACCAAACCGGTTTTGTTGGGTGGTATGGACCGGTTTTGTTGGGTAGTATGGACCGGTTTGTTTGATCGATTTATGCATCGAGGTGACTAAATAGTAATAACAAAATTAATGAAATTAATGAAATTTAAAAACCACAAGAATAAGGAGGATTGGCACCCACAACTATTATTTTTTTTTTTTCTTTTTTTATTTAATAATTCAGTTGGGATCTCAAGCTACTACCCGTTTTTTAATGGTTTGTTTGAATGCTTTAAATGAGAATGAAAGCCTAATCCTTTCCTGGGGTGGCGGTGGAACTAGCGGATTGACACCGACTTGCTCCGGATAAAAGGATAGTCTGAGGTACATGCTTTTAAAACACGTCCTGGATAATCTGTCTATACGGTGCATGGTGGAAAGAAGATAGTGATGATTTGACCGGTTTTCATTGCTCTTTAATGTGTGCCCATGAAGGCTCCTTTGCCAATAGTGTAATATTTGTTTGAGTTTGACTATTCACTTTTCTTATAGTTATTAGGAGGTTACGATTAATCTTGATCATTGATAACCATATTTGTTCTACGATAAAGTTTAAAGTTCAATTTTTTTTTTTTTAAATGTACGACATATCCAAACTATTAAATTTTACATGAGATGATTTTAAATAGTTGCATCTCTTTATGCCAACCTATAAAGGAAAAAATTTATATATAGCCGAGGCTCTAATCAATCAAATAGAGCGCACATCAAAAAGTTTATTAGAAAACATTGTTTTGATGTCTAAATATCCTCAAATTGATCATCTCAACATCAAGATGTATGGGCATAAGAAGAAAATAGATTTCATGGTTTGAAAATAATGTATTACAAGATGCATTTTTGGACAGTCAATTTTCAAGATTTTCAAGTTTTTATGGATTTGATCTATCACTATTTTTTAAAATTAAAATTTTATAATTAGAGATAGAAATATATTTTAATACTATCACAAGAATTTCCAATATTGAAATCACATTTCTCGACATTATTCGAAGGTGGGTTTTAAAGCTATAGAGTATTGAAGCCACATTTCTTGAGATAGAAATATATTTTAGAACTATCACAAGGATATCCAACATTGAAACCACATTTCTCGACATTATTCGAAAATGAGTTTTACTTTGATCGTTTAGAACCTCAGTCTATACAAACTGCACCCCTACCTTAAATAAATAGTCTCAATCATTATATACAGTCTTTACCCTAAGAAGGACATCGACCTTTTTTGTTAGAAGCACGACCCCGAGGGCATTAAAGGAAAACAATTAGGGTTGGTAGGGGCGTTTTGGGAATATGCAAAACATGCAACGCTCTCTTTTTCATGAAAATCACAATTAATGGATTGGAATTAAGGAAAAGCACACTGTGTAAAACTGCCCTGAATATCATGTAAAAATCTGGGGCATTGATGTTTATCCCATCCTCTCTCTGTGTGTCTAACAACCACTCCCTCGTACTTGCCTTTGCAAACGGTGGTTGTATTTATACAAGGAACAAACTTCACGGGTCACAAGCCTCTTTGAAGCCTTTCTCTCTCTTCTCACCCTCTCTGCACTTGTCTCTCTGTTCTCTCCGCACTTGTTGGCGTCAGTTTTTTTTCTTTGCTTTTCGGATCGGAGAATGGCATCCATGCCTGGAAAGGATCAAGGTTTCCTACGGCCTGGACTTTCTTTACTTCTTTTGTTTCTTTCATATTCAATTATCTTAGACTGGGCGTATGATAAATGAGATTGTGTATCGCACTTCATTTGTTTTGTAATTCAGGAGAAACGTTTAAGCAGATTTCAGAGGATGAAGAGGATCTCATCATAAGGATGTATAGCCTCATTGGGAATAGGTAAGAGATCCTCCCTTTCTCTCTTTAATGATTACATACTCATTGGCCCGGCCTAGCCCTAGCCCTGGACCTGTACAGCCGGGTCAGGGCTGGTGTGGCCGAGGCCTGACCCTTTGCCACTCTTATTACAGTCAATCGGCAGGCCCGAGGAACTTGGGCCGCTCCAAGTTAACTCACTCAAGTCGGAAATCGCCGAGCATATTGTGTTTTCCATACTTGATAGAAGTTATACAAACCAAAATACAAGAGTTTTTAAATGACTATAAATTGGGTTTTCCTGCTTGCCCAGGGAGGATACCAGGGAAAAGCGCAGAGGAAATAGAGTGGTTTTGGACGATGAGGGAGCATGAGGAAGACGACAATGCATCATCCATCACTGGTTTTGTGTGCCCTCTTAACATGGCTGAGAAGAAGAAGAAGAAGAACGCAATTGAGGCTGATTGTCCTAATACTGCAGTAACTACTCATTTAACCAAACCCATCGCCTGAAATGTTTCTATCTAATATTGGTTCATTTACTGATAAATTTGGAAGTCCTGAGGTGGGTAATTTTGTGAAGTCATTCTCTATTGCCGGTAGGTCTTTTGTTAAGTTATCCTCTCTCCTCCATAGGTTCTTTTAGTAAGGGAAATTTGGACCCTCTCTATTTCTCTTCTCTTACCCAGTGAGACTGAGCTGGGTTTCTTATCCCGAAAGTGTATGAAGAACGTACTCTAGTGAAGAGGGTGTACCCGTGAATGTAAGCATTCCATAGGGGGGATATTCTTAGGGAATATTACATCTTCTTTAGATTTTCCACACATCACTATTTACTATTATAAGCAAGCCACAATCACTCACACCCATTAGATGTTAAATTAGATAGTTTGAGATGTGTTATGAAGATCGAGAATTTGTTCTTTTTTAATTTGAGTCTAGTCACTAACACGCTTACAATCGCCCAACTTAAAATCAGACGGGCAAGAGTGATAGAAAACATTTTCACATGAAAAAGTTATCTCATGTGGTTAAGTATAGAAATATTTTTACATCAATTAGTTTCCAATTGGTGTGAAAAGATGCACTAAGACCAATTAGTATGAAAATATTCCCACACTCAATTGGTATGAAAATATTCCCACACTTAACCATATGAGAGAATTTTTTCATGTAAAAATATTTTGTAGAAAATGTTTTCACACACACCAAATGTGCCTAGTCACTTATAGAATTTTTCCTAAATAAATATCATAAGCTATGGCACCTCGCCTGGGTTTTTGCCCAGAGCTAAAGTATGTTTGAGCTCCGTCTTGCTTGCGGGTCATGATTGGCCCGGTTAAGCAAAAACTTTTTTATCTTCATGCGTGGCCTGGGCCTTACAAGAGAAAAATAGTCTTCTTTGCAAAACCTTGCTAAAAACGGTGGTTTGTTGTCAAAAACTCTTATAATCTCATAAAATGTCTTTTATTCTAGATCATTAAATTTGAATCGTCATAAATGGTAGATATTTTGTGAATCTATGAACAATTTGAAATGAACTATTTAAATTTGAAATGCCTTTTTCTTTTTGTTCTCGTGTCATATTGGTTGGGGTCGAGATGATGAATTTAACTGTAATCTCAAACTAAAATTGCATATTGGTTGGGGTCGAGATGATGAATTTAACTGTAATCTCAAACTAAAATTGCAATATCTGATGAGATTTGAGATTCGATTTCACTCTTTCTCATAAATCATAGGGCCTTACGCTAGTCGTTTCCTTCATCTTTTTACAAGGTTTGTTCCATATCTTGATCGCATTTGTGAATGCATACATCAGTACCTATTTGTTGGTATTCTGTTTTGAAATTGTCGGTATTATTTTGTCGTAATATCCTTCAAATCATATTATCTGAACAGTATAGTATTGTAGAGAGAGAAGTAATAGGTGTGTAATTCCACATAGAGAATAGATTTATGTGGTTTGCGAGGGTGTAATGGCACTTCGTTATGTTGCAATCAGCATCCTTGGCCGTCCATCGGTAGAGTCGTGGTGGGAAAGGGGCCAGGGTCTTACTGAAAGTACCCTCTGTACTTTAGTTGCATGTTGTGGCTTTTATTTTCATTGACACTTTTAAAAACTACTAACAATTAAAAAAATGGGTAGAAGCATGTATTCCGAGTGAATTATAAGAAAAAAAAAAAAAAAAAAACGAAAAGAAAAGAAGGGGGGAAATTATGTATATATGGTAGCAACTCTAGCACTGCCAGCACCAACGCCACAAGATTAGACCACCGGTAATTCCAAAAATTAATCCAAACACGAAATAGAAACAAAGCTTGGGAAGAAGGAATAGAAAAATCCCAAGGCCAGGGAATGTAGATCCGGCACCGGTGGTGCACTCGTTGGTGACAGTAGTGCTGGGATAATCCTGCACTGCTACCGCTAACACGGGCGATGCCGGTATCCAAGTTAGGCATCCTAGGGAAACCAAAGAGAAAGAGCACTAGCGTGGGGACCAGCAGTTCTAGCGTTGCCAGCAATAACTTGGTGTGATGACCAGTGTTGCTACTACTAACTCTAGCGTTGCCTCCTGTAGATCTGTCTGCTCTGACCTCCCCAGGATCTAGAAAACTCACAGAATAAGGGAAAAATGGATTTTTGCTTGATTCTACCTCGGGCTTAAGGTTTTGATGCCCCACGAGCTCGATAATCCCCACGGTGGGTGCTAGACTGTTTATACATGAAGAATTCCATAGAGAAAATCTAACCTTCACTTCGTTCTCATGTGCAAAATTTTCAATAAAAATGGTAGAGGATAAGGGTCCCATCGAATTGTAACCCGAGCGAGGATTCGATCGTCATACCGCTCTCGTACGGATTATTGGTAATACCAGCTTAAGGGGAAAATAAACTGACAATCCACTAGAATACTTGAGAAGAGTTTTTCGATAAGAGAGGGAGAGATTTGGGAAAAGGGGTTCAAAGTAGACTGAAAAATAAATGAGAAATGAACAAAAGCTAACCTTAAGCTGGGCCCCCAGGTCCGGCACCCGGAGTCGGTGGTCGATTCAGAATTGGGTCTAGTGCGCCGACTCTTTCTAGTATTTTGGAGTTTGTCGGGTAGAAGATATTGTTATGTGATAGCTTGGTACGTGGTAGTGGTGAAATTTGGGTTTTAGGATGCTGGGATTAAGGCTTGGGCTTAGGTCTCAGGGTCCGAAGATTTGAGTATTGAGTGCGGCAAAGTTTTTGCTAAGGTTCTAAGTCTCAAAAGTTCTTTCAATTCGGAGCCCATGACCCCTATTTATAGAGAAATAGTCCTTAAACAGTATCACAAAGTTTCGGTTGAATCTGGGCCATCGATTCTCAACACCACCGGTGACAACTTTAGCATTGGTGTCAGCAACTCTGCTACTATTGTACCATCAATCACTTCAAAGTCACGTGTACAGTGCCAATGCTGTTGATGAGTCACTTAGGCGTGTCCCAAATGTCTTCTTTCATTACTGAAAACACTATTCTGATGGTCGTATGTAGGTTGTCTTCACTTATTGACAACGTTACTACCATGAACGTTGTCACTGCCGCTGGTAACGCCACACTTTCTAGTAATTGTTGCCACCAGCATAGGCACTGGAACTGGCAGATCTGTCTTCCTTTCCTTCCTCCTGCGTTGCCAGCTCCAACTCTGGCGTCAGCACTACCAAATTTCATTCTAATGATTTCATTTCAATAATTGTGCTTCCCATTTAATGAAAATATTGTTCCTAAGGTGTATGGAGGAGATTTTCTTCAACGTTGCTACCTGCAATGCTGGCGTTGGCACCACCAACTTTGGTTTGTAATCATTCAAACTCAATTATTGGTCCTTTTCATTTAATGATAACATGTTCCACAGGTGTTTGGACATGATTTCGTGGAGCGATGCCACCAATAGTACTGATGTTGGCACCACCAACTCTGTGTTGTAATCATTCAAATTCAATTATTGGTCCTTTTCATTTAATGAGAACACAATTATGAGATGTATGAAGAATATTTTCTTTTGCGTTGCTACCTGCAGTGCTGGCAATGACACCACCAGATATGGGTTGTAATCATTCCAACTCAATTATTTGGGTTGCAGAGTCACTATTCATAACGTCTGAGTTTGATTAGGGCAGAGTTGGCAACCTCAACCAACACTGCACTCCCATGACTCCTCGGGCATTGCTTTCCGGTGAGTATTCAAGCCAGTGGCTTAGATAATCATTTCAGACACTATTGCTTCCAATGTTGCCACCTCCATCGTGGGCGTTATGGGTACTAATGCTGTGGTTTTTGACGTTGTTGGAGATCACTCAGGTGTTGGGGACTGCAGATCTGTGGCGTTGGTGGCCCCCTCTTCAGCGTTGCAGTGGCTTATCTAAAGACCAAATAGTCATTTTCTCAAACAAATTCTCCATAACTCTCAAATCGTATACCATATCAGAGAAATTCTTGAGCTGTTGAAAAGCTTGTGACATCTACTTTCATTTAGAACCAAATTCAAGTCCGAAAGACTGTTTTTTGAAAGGTCCAAAAAGCTCGAGCCTAAAGGAGCTGATTTCCATCGTTTAGGTATCAGGATTGTGCACAAGTTTATTTCTAAGGTATTTGATGATCTTAACGTTTATCATGTTAGAATAGTTTCAGGTTATTATAGTGCCAAGGTCTTCGGTTTCTTAGGACTCCCTCAGCCGGGGATGGGGTGTCTACTGGTAGTAATACATATGAACATGTAGTTTGATCAAGGACTATGGACCTAAGTATCAAATACGAGAGATGAGTGTAGCTCATTTAAGGATGTAAGCACGAAGGGAGTGTTTCGATGGAACCTGATCTTAATGACCATCCTCCCAATAATGTCCAGCAATATGATATCCTGCAGGTGATGATGATCTCATGATAACGTCTCCATATTTTCCAAGAAGAAGCAGGTTTTGATAATCAATCCTTTGTCATGCTTTATTTTGGATAAAATCATAATATGGACTTTATGATTTGCTTTTGTGCCTATAAACATGACCCGGTAAATAATTAAAGGTAAATGTGGTAAAATGATTTATGAAGACTAAGAATGTATTTTAAAATTAAATTGAACCATTTATGGAAACCGTATGTTTATGGATATAGTTTTGAGAAAACTACATAGTCTTGAGAGGTCCACTAAATCTTTATGGAAAATCATTCTAAACTGCCATACTATTTTCTAACTATTGCTTCTGAAAATATATAACAAGTCAGGAGTTTTTTAATAAAAGGGAAAAACATTGAGTCTTGAAGGTATTTATAACCTTGGGAGAAAAAAGTCATTTTATCTAAGATTTAGTTTTTTTTAAAAAAAATCCATATGCCTTGACTCATGTTTTTCAGTTATTTAGAACCCTCAATTACCTAAGACCATGAACCATAGAAAATATCATAGAAAGACCATCTTGGTAGGCCTCCTTGACACATCCTTGGTGGAGTATAAAATTTGGTTTGTATTGGTTTACTACCGAGAAGACTAGTGTGGTTGATGGCTCAAGAAGGTTTTGCATATTGCAAAACCAACAGGCATTGAGTTATTTATTTTTACATAAGACTTGCTATACT